TCTAAAAGTTAAAAGCAGAGGAGAGAAAAATTTATAAGAACATGAGAAAAATATGTGTCTAGGCAATTTACAGAGTCAACTTGAAAACCTAAGAAGCAGATGAAGAGATGTTCAAATATATTAGCATAATTATCATTAGTAATAAGAAATGCAAATTGGAGCTAAAATGATATATAGCTTTACTGTTGTTATATTGGCAAAAAATTGAAAACAAAATAATACAAAAGGTTGAAGGTGATATGTACATGAATTGCAGGTGGGTGTATGGATTGATGCAGCCCTTCTGGAGAGCAATCTGGCACCAGTACACAAATTAAGTGTATGTATATTTATAGCAGTCCTACTCTTAGATAGCTTACACCCCCCATCAGACAAGCAATTATTCTCTCACAAATTCATAAAGAGACATATACAAAGTTGTTAATACAGTGTTATTTGTCAAGGAATTGAAAAAAGACCTGGGTGTTCATTACTGAGAAACTTAAGGAGTAAAATGGAGGGGAGGTACACCATGAGCTATTATGCAACCATTGGAAATAATGAATTGGGTATATACATGGCAACATAAGAAAACCACACTGTGAGTGCCTGCCATTTTACCCTGTTTTCAAATTAACAGGTTAGTTTGCCACAGTTTCCTGCAAACTAGCAGAAAATATGAGACTCCTCAGTAAGAGACAAATAATTTATTCACAACGATAAAGCAAGTAGCATGACTTTCATGTTCACACATATTTCCTCTGCCTCTCCAGTCTCTCAGGGGTGATACTGATGGGACTAGATAGAAGCTGCATACCCAGTGTGTCTGTATTAAAAACCAGCCACCTAAAGGTAAAGAAATCTCAATCTTTCATAATGGGTTGTAAGAAATCCTGCCCCAATTTTGCCATGGAAGAAAATATTATCTTTATTATACTGGACAGAAATTAAACCTGCTATTTCAGAAGGAGACAATATAATTTTTTAAAGTCTATTCAAACATGTTTGACAAGATGGGTCCATACCTTGGAGACATAATCTTGAGGTGGGGAGTTACTACTTCTTTCAGGAAGAGCCTCCTGCAGCAGTTGCCAAGTCAGGAGAAGGCCTTAGAGTTCTCACCAGCAGAGCCTCTGAAGGTGTGTCAAATAAGACGGGGTCCTTGCTGCTTTTGTGATCTTCCACAGATACGTGCATTTTCATTTTCTCAACCACCTTTCACTTTCTGTCCATTTGTTTCAGATCTCAGGTAATACAGGCAATAGCAGGTGTATCTTATCACTTCAATCTATTACATATATGTTTATTGCTTTGAGGGGGGAAATAACTTCACTGTGGGCTCAATGCTACTTGACATGAGTGACACCATTTTGAGGCATTAGGACAAGAAATCATTATGATATATCAAAAGATATAGATGAGGAGATATGTAGGACTAGGTATGGGGGAAGGGGCACGAAACTTCCGTGTGCCCTCCGGGGTTGCCACTCTCGAAAAACTTCCACGTGTTTAGCTTTTGGTAAACTCTCTCAACCAGTCCTATTGAATGTTTTATGGAAACTTCATCATTGGATAAGCATAACTGAATCATGGACAATCATGTAGAAATGTGATTGGACCAAAAGAGTATGATCTAATACTGATAGATTGAGTGAAGGAACTTAATAAGTCTTTTCTGTTCAGACACTTCTCAGTCTCTCTGTGCAGTATTCCTTCCTCCTGGGTATGAGGAAGAATCCCTTCTGAAATTGTATCTGAAATCTTATGACCTACAGTCAGACAAAGTAGGTCAGAGAATTTCTTTATGGTCAGCTCCAAGACAGAAAGGCAGGAGAAGATCAGAAAACACTTTTAGTTTCTATGGTCTGCCTTGGGGAGAAAAAGGAGCAGGTGAAAGGAGGGCAGGAGATTTGCTTCTGAGGTCTAAAGCATCCTGACATTATAACAAAATACTGTCTTTCATCTTTATCATTCTGAAGCTGTTCCAGATCTGCTTCAGGTACCAATGACAAAAGGACAAATACTTTAACAAAAGATATGTTCATTGTTTTAGTCACCTAGGAAGTAACAAGGGCTACAGGAGTTATAAGCCAGGAACTGTGGATGAAAACATATGTATCTGTATATCTATATAATATCATATATGTGTGTATATATATATTGCAATAATAAAGCTCAAAAAGCAGGAAGAGATGAAAAAAGAAAGAGTAGAAAATAGAAAGAATTAACTCACCTAAAATTAATTATTACAATAATGTCAATGATCTAAATATTTCAATTGAAGGGCAGAGAACTAAGACTGGATGGCATCACACTGGATAATCACAGACTATACTCTGTGTAGACGAAATCCATTACAGTTCATGCATGAGCTTCAAGTCAGCAGGACCTTCATTTCAGTATCTCAGCCTCTCACTACCTTAGTGAGATCATATAGCATAGTGAAGAGCAAGAGTTGAATTAAAGCCGTATGTTAATAAACAGAAGAGGCTATTATGTCAATGTACTATGAATAGGGTCATTTTATCTCACAGTATTAATTTACTTTTATATTCATTTGTGCCCTTATCTATTTGTGCTAGGCTGAATAAAGATCCTCCAAAGATGTTCAAATCTTAATCCCTAGAACCTATGACTATGTTACCCTACTTGGTGGAAGAGCCTTTTCAGATGTTATCAAATTCAGGATTTTGAGATGGGAAGATTATCCTGGATTATTTTCGTGGGCTCAATGTAATCACCAGTGTTCTTATGAAAGGAAAGCAGGAGAATCAGAGTTAGTAGTAAGAGACACGATGATGAAAGCAAGAGATTGGAGTGATCAAGACAGTGATCATGAACCAAGGAATGCAAACAGCCTCGAGAAACTGAAAAAGGCAAATAAATGGATTCTCCCATCAGAGCCTACAGAAAAAAATACCTCTACTGACACTTTGGTTTCCACTCAGTAAATCTTCTTTTGGACTTTTGACTTCCAGGAATTTAAAATAATAAATTTGTGTTGTTTCAAGTAACTAAGTATAATCCAGTAACTTCTTTCAAGGAAGTCACAGTCTAATATTTCTCCTTGTGTGGCTTTAAGGGCTTGTAGAATTTTATACCCAACACCATTTCATTGCAAACAAAACAATCAATAAAGTATTCGGTCAGTATTTCTAATTGGATATAGAAAAAATGGTAGAGTTAAAATGACAGAGAAAGAATGTGATTTGTCTTTTTTTTTTTTTTTTGGCTATATATGCAAAATTAACTAACTCCTTAAAGTATTAATATACTTATCTGTTATTTCAGAATAAAAATATCTACTTCACCATGTAAATAATTTTTAAGAAGCCATTACAACATATTCCAGATTATAGTTTCATATTTCATCTGATCTTTGATCTGAGACTTTGACGGTTATTCTACAAGCTATAAAGTATAAGTTAATAGTGTTTTCAACTGCATGTTACACAAACTCCCAAAAGGGTAGAAGAAATAAATTGGAGTTCATGTTTCTCACATAGTAAGAATTGTAGAAGTAGGTAGGTCTTAGCATTATTTTAACTGATCACAGATACAATCAAGGAACCAAGCCCTTTCTATTTTTCTGCTAGACTGTCATTAATTCATTGGCTTTCTCATGTTTGTCACCTTGTGGTTGTGCAATGAGTGCTCTATTGTCAGACAGCACATTGTCATATTTAGATTTAATATAGAATTATATTAGGAAGCTCAGTGCCAGCAGCAACCAGCCCCTTTTATTAGTAAAGTAAAAGCTTCATGGAAAAATATGCCATTTACCCCTCTTTAGAGATACTTGGGAAAATAGACAGCAAAGTTGACAAATTGGTAATGCGATTGTCATTTTGGTTTAGACCAAATGACAAATTGTCATTTTGGTTTAAATTGTCAATTGGTCTAAACCAAATTGTCATTTTGGTTTAGACCCCACTTTACTTAGGCACGGACATAAGCTATATAGAACAATAATGGAATCTTGTTAGGAGGGAAGACATTATTAATACTCAAAGGATAGGTAGTTTAGAAGTCCTGCCACATATATCAATGAAGTTAATTCAAGAACTGTGGGGAAAGATACAGACCAGATGTGGAGTTGAGTAATATTGATATGGAAGGGGAGAAGGGAAGTGCTGGGAAGGCAATGGTGTGACGCTCCACCCCTGGCCTGTGCTCACGGACCTAGGTGAGGAGAGGCACTCCTGCCTTCACGCCCAAATGTTGCATTTCTCAAGGCCACCCTGGCCTACCAGGCTCCCATCCTGTGTCTACAAAAACCCTGAGACCCTAGCAGACACCACACAAGCGGCTGGACATTGAGAGGATGTTGAGAGGTGCACGCCTGTGGAAGACCACACGACAGATGCCGGCATTCCGGCAAACAGGCCATTGACTAGCAGAATGAGGCTGAGTTTGGCAGGTCAGTTGGAGGACAGCCAGGGCTGCCTAGCAGCCTGACTCGAGGGGAAACCATCTCCCCTCTGGCTCCCCATCTCCTGAGAGCTACTTCTACTCAATAAGTCCTTGCACTCATTCTCCAAGCCCATGTGTGATCTGATTTTTTTGGTATACCAAGGCAAGAACCTCATGATACAGAAAGCCCTCTGTCCTTGCGATAAGGCAGGGGTCTAATTGACCTAATCCAAACCATCTATAGACGGCTAAACTAAAACAGCACATGTAACACATGCCCACTGGGCTTTAGCTATAAACATTCAACCCTAGACACTGCCATGGGGTTGGAGCACCACAGCCTGCTCGTCTGTATCTTCCCCTAGAGGTTTCAGCAATGGGGCACCGAAGAAGAGAGCCACACCCTCCATCACATGCCCTGAGAGGGGGACAAGGGAACCTTTCCCCTTTCAATACAGATTAAATAATTAGACAATTTAAAGAATTCTGCCGTGTGTGTGTGTGTGTGTGTGTGTGTGTGTTCGTGTGCGTGTACATGAGAGAAAGAAGAATAAAATATTGGTGAATGTCATAGGCCTACTAGTGACCTTTCATTTTTCTCTTCCCAGAACGTCTTTCTTTCTTAATGTTGTGACTGCATTATTACCGCCTTCTGGTTGAAATTAGTTAGTCGTCCTACAGTAACAGGTAAGTACTCAATGTATCCGCTCTCTGAAGAAATGTAGTAAAAAGCATCCAACTTTGAACTCCGTACATCTGAGCCAGCCAGGTGGGAGGAGGTCCCTGGAGAAACTCCAACCAGCCTGCGCACTGAGGTGGAGCCCAGGGAAGTTCATGACTTTTGCAGCAGGGAGGAGCCTGGCCCCTCCTCTTCCTGTGTGGGGCGTGGGATTCAAGCTGTGAGCCTCACAGAAAAATATGCCATTACCCCTCTTTAGAGATACTTGGTAAAATAGACAGCAAAGCTGACAAATTGGTAATGTGATTGTCATTTTTGTTTAGACCATTTCACCCAGGCATGGACATATGCTATGTAGAACAATAATGGAATATTGTTAGCAAGGAAGAAGCTATTCATAATCAAAGGATAGGTAGTTTACTAGGGCTGCCTCGTGTATCATTGAAGTTAGTTCAAGAACTGTGGGAAAAGACACAGTCATTTTGATTTGCGGAGACTCCCTGTTTCCCCCTTTTCTTCTTTTTCATCCAAAAAAATCCCTGCTTTATTCACCCTCTCTAATAGTCTGCAAGCCTAAATTTTCATAGCCATGGGACTGACAAGAACTCCGCATTTAGCTGAACTAAGGAAAATTCCTGCAATATTTTTGGTGCGCAACGTCAGGGTTTGAGAGGTGGTGAGTGAAATGGGGACTCAAAACCTCTCACTGTTGCTTCTGAGCCTTTTCATCCTCGGACTTCTGAGGATGGGGGAAACCATGCCCCCAACTCCCGTCGCTCCTTGGCCTTTTCATGGCCTTTTCCTTCCTTTTTTGGGACCCACTTGTGAGTTCCTCCCTCCCTGCCTAGGGCTGGGATACATGGCCCAAGAATCCTGCACAGCCAGGTGGCTGGTTCCCAGTCAGGCACTGCTGCAACCTTCCCTTTCTCCCACCAAGGGGTTCAGCTCTACCGGACAATAATTAAACTTTTCTCCTGGTGGAGGAACCACTTGCCTAAGAATTAGAAGTTCTTCCCTAGGCATTTTTAAACTGTTGTTTTTTTTTTTTTCTTTCCCCTTCTCCACTTTGTCAAGAGCTAAGTTTTACATTTTTTTTTCCCCCTTTATAAGATGTTTTACTAGGCCAGCTCTCCCTGGCAACTATCACCGTTTGTACGCTCTGCAAAGTTTTGGTTGTGAAATCAAGCCTCCATCTTGTTTTACATCCTGAGGTCATGGGTGGTAACCCTTGGCAAGGCTTTATTGGGCAACCTTACCTTAGGGGATGAGCCCTCTCAGACTCCATATCTGCACAGTTTCCTAGCCCTGTGTCTTCAAGGGTCTTACCCAGCGACTGGGTTTTCCTCTGCCTGTCGGTGTCTATACTGTATGTAATGTCTGTCAAAAGAGCTCTAATTAATTTGGCCTAAAGAAAGACAAGCACTTGGATCTAATATTTTTTAAAGGGAAGTTAAAAGCTGTGGAACCTTTCAGTTCATGTGACTTTAATCTTTAAGAAATAAAAAGAGCCTTAAAGATTATTAGTAAAATGCAGGTCAGATACAAGGTTTGCTAAGTGTTTTGAGGGTGCAAACTGCTTTTAGGGTTTTGAGAACTATTTCACCTGCCAGCTTCACAATTGCTAGGGCCTGGGGCCATATGGAACTAACCACGCCCTTAATTAAGAAGGCAAACCTTGGCTGCACTTATCACACAACTTAAACAACTTACCAAGTTTTCCTTAAAGTTAAAAATTGCTAGGAGTTAATTGAAACTACTAGAAATAGATTTCCACGAAAGGTGTGTAAGAACAGTACAGTGTGTTTTTTAGTAAAAGGTTATAAGAAGGCATGGAAATGTAAACTTTTGCTGGGGTTCAAAGATTGTTTTGAGTTAAATTAGGAAAAAGCTGAAAGTTCAAAGAAGCAGTGGAAGAACTATGGGAATTCGTCTTGCAGAAGAGGTTATCTATGTGAACATACTAACTAAATTCAAAAAAGTATTATATGGTTTTTCTGTAAATTGAGCATTGAAATAAAAGCATAATAAAGTTTTCTTAAGGTGCTAATCTGCTCTTTCACACAATTTGTAAAGGTTTATAAAAGCTTTCTGCTTCTTTAAAATTTCCCGAGTCATGATTTTGGCAAAATAAATAACTTATGGTAATCTGGAATTCTATTTCATAATATCAAGTGTTTATCGAACGTATTTGACAGCCTTCCCCAAATCAAACTTCAGTTTCAAAATTGTCTTCCCTGGCATCTGGCTTTTCGAATACTTCATAGGGTCCCTGAAATGTCCAGAAAGGAGAGGTAAACAGGATTATTTCACATATTTAGGTACACGGGATTGCCAACATGATGCTCAATCTTCTTTAGGTTATGTCTTGGTGAATAATGCTAATATATGTTCCAAAATTTATGGGATGTCTCAAATTCTAATGTCTGAGTATATGCTATCAATCATAATTAAGGTTGTTATGTTTAAGTTATTGTAAACCACAGAGATAACCAAACTTCTTTCTCAATTGTGTTTCTAACTGTAACTAACCTGGATATTTTGCTATTCACAGAAAATTGTTGTATTATGTTAATCCTTTTCAAGAATATGGTTTATAATAAGCTGTAGGGCTCAAACAGGTTCTCTCAAATACAGGCTTCTGGTAACTTTAGAGACTATAATGTTAAAGGAAAATATACAGGACTCATGAAGAGCTAAAATGTCCATGAATATCAAGCAAAACAAGAGTTAACCAAATGGACTGAACTCAGAAAACTGAAGCAACCTTTTAACCTTTGTTTGGAATATTGCTGATCTTTTTTTTTTTTTTTTTTTTTTTTTTCAGAGTCAAGGAAATTTACACTATTTACTTAAGCTATTTATTTAAACTATTTATGGCCTTTAATAATTATGTAAGTTTTACTCTTGGGATCAAAATTTGGAGCATGTTTGTTTTTTTTCTGCCTGATTCCTCTGAACTTTGGAAACTGTGAGTATTCTTAACTTATGGCAATATAGTTGTTTGCATCAGTGCAAGAAGAATTCATTTTTCTTTTGCTACAGGACACAATTGGAGAATCTGGTAATTTTACCAAGGCTTTGACTGCAAGGGTATGCTTCCCTTTAAGGAGTCAATCTTACTTGCAAAGTCAATAAAACCCCAGTGGGCAAACTGGCCTCATACCTTTGCCTACACAGTCCCTGTAGAGGGTTCCTGACCTGTATTTAGTAAAGAGTGTACTTTCTAACTGGTGTAGGACCTCCATGTTTATCTTGGGACCTTAAGAGGAGAGGATTACCCAACTCACAGGTGTTTGAAGATACTAACCCATGGCTGGGCTCAGCTTTAAAAGGTCTTATCTGAGACTCCTTGTGGAACAGAATTCCATCAAAGCCAATCCAAAAGGCCTATGTAGAAATCATTATTTTTGCTGCACTTTATGCAAATAATCAGGTCAAGTATAAAACTAAAGTCTATTTTGGAAACAACTCAGTCCTACAATGATTTATTTTTTAACAGACGTGAGGACTGGAGAGAGTGAAATTATGTTCAAAACTTATATCTTTGTCATTAAATTCTAAACTCACTGGTTGTTTTTAAGTTTTCATTTACGTTTTAGAGTAACCCTGCTTGATTCTGTGAACCAGCCAGCAATCCCTGGCTGCAGCTCAGAAAGAACAAAAGAGATGGGCAATGTAGAAATCTGGATAGATATTCTGTTGGGAGCAAGCCCCCCAAAGTCTGGCCATAAACTGTCCCCAAGACTGGCCATAAATAAAATCTCTGCAGCAATGTAACATGTCCATAACAGCAGTAACGCCCAAGCTGGAAGGTTGTGGGTTTAAGGGAATGAGGGCAAGGAACACCTGGCCAGCCCAGGGTGGAAAATTGCTTAAAGGCATTCTTAAGCCACAAACAAAAGCCTGAGCGATCTGTGTCTTAAGGGCATGTTCCTGCTGCAATTAATTCGGCCCATCCCTTGGTTTAGCTTAAGGGATACTTTTAGTTAATTTAATATCTATAGAAACAATGCTACTGACTGGTTTGCTGTTAATAAACATGTGGGTAAATCTCTGTTTGGGGCTTTCAGCTCTGAAGGCTGTGAGACCCCTGATTCCCCACTTCACACCTCTATATTTGTGTGTCTGTGTGTCATTAATTCCGCTATCGTCTGACTGAGCTGGTCTCGGCAATACTCTAGTTCTGAGCAATTATCCTGCAAATCCTGCCAGGTGATAGAATAAATAGGGAATAAATACGGTGCCCACCACCCAGAGGTTTCCTTTTTGGGAATGTAAAACCAAGGGAACCAACCAAAGCCAAGCACCATGCACCAGAATTCTAGCAAGCATAACTCTAGCTAGCAGTTTTCTGGATGTGTCACAAGACATTCCTTCCTCTTCCTTGGTGGAGGAGGACTCAGTTCCACAGTTTCACTTTAGCATTCAGCTTATAATGAGTCCATGTAATCCCTCAGGACACATTTTTGTCCAAAACTCAATTCCACGCTTCAGGTCAAAGCCCTAGGAAGGAAAACTGGATCTGAGGGATCCAGAGGCAAATGATGACAGAGATTAAAAGGCACAGCACAGGTGACAACAGAGGTTAAAAGGCACAGCTCAGCACCGCCGATGAAGCCAACCCCAAGCCTCCTGTTTCACGAATGAAGACCACATTAATATCAATGGCATAAACCAGGTCTAGGGAACTCTAAGGCTACTGACAGTAGGTGAGAAAGAGACATAGCTGAGAACAGATGATTCCTATTCTCTAGGCCCCCCTGCTTCATGGGTGCAAGTCGCTTTGACACCTATGGTGGCACCTGCCAAGGTCGACGGAACTCGGGGATGCAAGGACAGAAGAGGGAAAGAGGACGCTCTTCTCTCTCCCCCTCACCCCGGTATCTGCTAGGAAGAGAAGGGAATCAGGGATGCCTGCTCCCCTCTTTCTCATCTTCAGTCTGTACCCCTTTTGAATGCATCCTGAACCCATGGAACTCCTTTGAAAAAATGACTTTTTTTGTATTCCTTCCTCCTCCTCTATTCTCTCTTCACTAATAGGTAACTGTCTCAGTACTATGGGACACTCCCCTCACATGCATCTTCCAAACTGGTAAGAGTTAATTTCCCAAATTTAGGGGAAAGGAACCCAGAAGCCTGACATGCCTTCAAAAAGGTAAAGTTTTTTTAACCAGTTGGGCTTTTGGCCTCCCTCTCCCAGTGCAAACTGGTAAAAGGCTTCAGAATTTTTGAGCTGTCCTTGCCCTAGTGCTTGTTTTGTTTTGATACATGTTTCCTAATAACCCCGTCTGTTCTTGCCTTCAGGTCATCAAATTCCAGTCATGCAACCGGAGCTTCTGACCATGGCCCCTTCTGCTGAGAACTCTTAGATCGGCCTCTGAAAGAGCTCTGACTGTTGTTTCCCCAAAACACTCCCTGGCAGCAGGAAGCAGTTAATATTGGTCTTTGGCCGTATCCTTATGCTAAGGGCAGTTAGATGTACTTCTTTAGAGGGGCGAATGAGACAGCTAGATGGGTGAGCGTCCCTGGAGAAACTCCTTCCAGCCTGCCCACTGAGGTGGAGCCTCAGGAAGGTTCCAGGACATTTGCAGCAGGGCAGAGCCTGGCCCCTCCTCTTCCTGTGTGGAACTTGGGATTCAAGCTGAGGGTTGGAAGCACTCAAACATGGGACTCTAGCCTTGTAGAGATTGCCTGCTTACCCAATAAAATCCTGCTTTTCTTCTTTTTCACCCAGTAAAATCCTGCTTTACTCACCCTCTGCAACTATCTGTGAGCCTAAATTTTTGTGGCCGTGGGATGGACAAGAACCCTGCTTTAGCTGAACTAAGGAAAAGTTGTGCAACACATCCAGTAGGATCTACCTTCTATGAAGGTTAGGGTCTATTGAGGATGAGTTAAAAACTAATGTTGATTTTATTCAAATTTCTGAAATTTCTTCTGAAAATGCTGTCATATTCCAAGAAACATTATGGCTGTTTTGTTTTTGTTTCGTTTTGTTTTGTTTTGCCTTTTGAGATGCAGTCTTGCTCTGTCGCCAGGCTGGAGTGCAGTGGCAGCATCTCAACTCACTGCAACTTTGCCCTACCGGGTTCAAGCTATTCTCCTGCCTCAGCCTCCTTAGTAGCTGTGATTACAGGCGTGTGCCATCACGCCTTTCTAATTTTTGTGTTTTTTAGTAGAAACGGGGTTTCACCATGTTGGTCAGGCTGGTCTCGAACTCCTGACCTCATGAGCTGCCTGTCTTGGCCTCCTAAAGTGCTGAGATTACAGGCGTGAGATTATGGCTGTTTTTAAAAATCAACTTGCACTCTGGTTACTAGCAGTTTGGTAGTCATTGTGAAAGTAAGTTTTTGCTTCATTTAAACATATATGGTGTACAGTAATTATCTTATTTGTTAAATCCCAAATAATTATTCCCCAAATTTAAACACCTATTCAAATCCATTAGACAACAGTCTATCAACCAAAACTAAATGAAAGCAATTTGAATTTTTATTTTCATCTCTCTTGAAAAAATTCAAATATGAGTTGATGACAAAATATTTTTAACTCCCGTCTTAAGACTCTCTCTAAACATCTGAAAAACTCTACTAAGTCCACTTTACCTTTTGGCATTCCTGACCAATTTCTCTCCTGTTTCTAGATGTGTTTCCTAATTGTTCTTTTCAGTTGCAAATCATAGACTTTCATCTCTTCTGGTTTTTGTTCTCACGCATTAACCTTGAACTTCATAATAATATTCAGGGGAAACAAGGCTTGACAAATCCTTCATAGAATAATGGTGGCAATAGCAGGGATTGGGTTTGGAAGGTAAAAGTACCTACTACATGAGAAGATGCTGTGACCACTTTTGCATTAATATCTAAGGATCTTACAAAACATGATAACACTGTGTTTTCTTCATTATGTTAAACAAATCAGCAGCAGTGGTGTATAAGCATTGGAAGACTGAAGACACAAAAAGTACTGAAAGACCTAATGAGAAACGACAGTGGAAGAAAAAAAGTAAAGAAGAGGACATAAAAGGGGGTTTAAACCAATAGTGGGGAAGTCAAACTGAAGAGATGCAGTTTAATGGGCATAAGGTTTCAGTCATGCAAAATAAAAACAGTTCTATAGATCTACAATACAATATGATGCTTATAGTTGACAATTATTACATGCTTAAAAATTTGCTAAGAGGGTAGTTCTCATGCTGTGTATTTTTTTAAACCACAATAAAAAAAATCACTGTGGCATGAAAAGGGGTCAAGGGAATACAGATTTGGATCAGCTATTTACACACCATTTCAAAACAATGGAAATAAAAACTTAAGAAAAAAGATGGAAATCACTAGTCAAAGAAGCTAAATTAGTTCCTTTGGTGAAAGCTTGTTTGCCTGCAGTAAACAAGGAAATAAACCCTGGATATCAGTCAAGCTAGGTATTTTGTTTGGGGCAATGATGTTTAATGTATTAAGGGTGACTGATCAAAGAAACCAGTGTAAATGTCCACAGCCTGAGGTTTCCCAGAATTGTTCAGTGCCTATGGTATTCTCTCTGTTTAACAATGATTATGCATGTGATATATTATTATTATTATTATTTTTTGGTTACATCTCAACATAACTTTTTGGGAACAATACTTGATAAAATTTCGGGTATTCCAAGGAGTTCTAGTTTGAGTAATATTAGTTTCATAAAACTATCTATGAGGATCTATAAAAGGTGTCTATATTATTATTCTATATATAGCATCATGATATCAGAGAATATCAGGGTTGAAGTGACTCCAAAAGTAATTGAGGATAACCCCCTGTCTGATGCTTGAACAATCTCTACAATATCACAGACAAGGTTATGGAAACAAGTTTTTGCTATTAAGTAAGAAAGAAAACTTCATGTAAGTACAAATTAAATTCTAAGTTATATGTTGAATTTCCTCATAACCTGAATTATTTAAGTGCGAATTAGTTGTAATTGTTAAACAAGTAAACAAAATAATTGTTAGTTATTAGTTTTAATTGTAAAACAAGTAAACAAAAATAATGAAAAGTGAATGTGAAATCTCACCAAGAATTCATATTTGGTGATATCATTACTCACAACATGCAGCTAACATTTGTATGAAGAAAATTAAAAGTACAACTAAAAATAATGTATTCTATCATATTTCAGTTTTCATAGATAATAAAATGTTTGATAAACATTAAAATAGTAAGCTCATAAGTAATATAATTATTTGATATGCCAAAAATAGAGTCTCATAACGAAATAACAAGAGTGAGGGAGTACAAATGCTTCAGTGATGCTGATTGAAGTGTAACTGCTTTTCAGGGAGGAGGAAATGAAACCAAGATGTTTTGAAGAAACAATGTTGAGTTTTGCATAAATTAAGAAGTAGAATGAAATTGAAAAGAACTGTGTACGTTTATTGACGGAGAGTTTCTGCAATATGCTATGGCAGTCCATATGCTTATCAATTATAAGAATTTTGACTTTCAGCTCTGGAAAATATGAGAAATATAGGCAATTACTCTCTGAAGAAAGGAACTCTTTTATCATCCATATGTTATTAATGCCCAGCAGGGCAAGGCAACTTCTATTAAGTGAGCAGCCAGTAATGCTTTATCAACATATCTTTACTAAAGATCAATCTTTGGAAATACTGTCACATATAGCATTAACCCCAAACTGTACACTTCAAACATTTTATTTTTCACTTAAATATAAATTATATTAAGCTTATTCATTACTATATGTTAATCAGTTTGCAAAGACATCTTCCTGCTTGTCCATAAGCAATAAGCAAAATTAATGATTTAATTTTTATTTTAAAACTTTTCATTGTTGACAACTACCATATGTTTTAAGCAAAGTAATTAGGGGTGTGTGTGTGTGTGTGTGCGCGCGCGCACGGTATTTGAGAGGGATTGGGGAAAATAATGCAATTATTATATAAAGTGATAATTTCTAGATTGAGGCATAAAGGCTTAAGTAGCTCAAGATAATGAATTCATTCTATATGTGCTTTTCTCTCATTATCTATAGCTCTGTAGTTGTTTTACATCTAAGCTCTTGAACTTTCTACAAAGTTGTGAAATAATAAATGTATTATTTGCAAAGAATAAACCTCATAGACATTTTTCAGAAACATTAATTAGGCCTAATAACATCCAGCAATTGTGATATTCTACTACTGTAGGATTTTTTTTGTCTCCCCTCTACTCCCCCCTCTTTTTTTTTTTAAGAAAAAAGAAATTTCTTCAGTGTTTTAGAGCATGCTTTTGGCAGGAAAATTAAAGATACTTGTTTTGTTCTCAGCCTGCCACTGGCATGCTGTGTGATGCCCTTATACTCTCTTTGCCTCAGTTTCTCCCATTACTGAAATAAAATTGTAATGGTTGCCACTTTAAAGTCTCATAGGGTTGCTCTGAGAAATAATGAGAATAGTGTGGAGTAGTTTGACAGAATGAGGCAAGAATTCTTGAACATTAAAGAGAATTCAATATAGATGTTTTAACAAGGAAAATGTTCCTCTTAAGCAATTGTGTAGCAGTGTACTGTCTGATTTCATTAGCTATTTCTCACTAAAGCTTATTAGGGAAATTTGGTTATTCAGGCCATTTTAGAAAATAAAGGAAATTTAAATATTCATGGAAAAAGAGAGTGTGTACATGACCCTTGAAAATAAAGCATTATGAACTAAATGGAAATTTTTAAATGGTTTAGTCTGTTACCTTTTTTATTCAAGCTTGCTTTATTTTCAGACATTTTAGCAACCTGAAATTTTACTATAATATCTAAAATTCTTCAGAGAAATTCCAGAAAGCTAGGAAATTTCTCAGTACCATATGCAAATGTAAATGTAAAGAGCAAGAAATAATCAATTTTATAACAAAGTATTTTATGTCTCAAATTCTGAGTTGACTATTGTTAATGAAATGTTTAAATGGAATGATTGTAGGAATGAATATTGGAAATTTTTGTCCTGTTTTCTTCATTTTTTTTTCTACTTCTTCCCAGAACCATGAGTGAGTGATTGGGTATATATTCATTTCATGTCATATAGTGTAACAGAGAGTTTTTATTTATTTTATTTTTCTGGAGAACTACTTAGTACATAGCAAAACTATTCTCTCCCTAGACAAATATAAAACCTAGGTTACAGTAGAAATTTGAAAAGACATCAACTGAAATAACACATATGTTTGTCTTGGATCTTTAAAATCGAAGGAAAAATTGCTGCTTTACCAATCACATAATTTTGTTTTATGACTAAAGCTACTTTAAAAACTAGACTATTACTTATTTTCGCAAACTGTAACCTCAGATAGTTTTATGTTCTTGAGTCAGGTGTATCTTGGTCATACGTCCTCTACTACTTACCCTAGTTTTTTCCTTAAAATTTTCCAAAGAGCTTCAAGAATGATAGAGGCTACAAGGTGCTTCCAAGAACCGTATAAAGAGGGAGTAAGGTATACAAAATAACTTGTGCAACATTTTTTTGTTGTATTCAGTTTTTTCAAAGTTATTTCTACATGACACTTTGTAACATTGTGATCACTTTCCAAAAGAGATGTGACCTATAGAAAGAAGTTGTAAAATGTTTCTCATACATTACTTCTCTCTGAAATTTCAAATGCAACTTCATGATGACCTTCATAGAATAAAAGTGTTCATATTTGTACTCTACTGTTTTTATTGTTGCAGTAATGATGGTGGTATATTGCTTTCTAAAAGACACATAGTAAAACAGGTTTAAAAAGTCTCACCAACATAAAACTTTCTTTTCCTGCATGTATACTTCCAGGCAACTAAAGATAATGATTCCAAACTAATTTGAAATACCTATGGAGAGACAGAGAGTACAAATGAATTTGTCATAATTTGAGAAGGAAATGGAGTATTGTTTGCTATCATATCTGGTGACACACAAGTGAACAGGGCTAATGTTCCTCCCATAATGAAATGGAAATGTTTGTCAATAGGTTTGACATACACCTACCACCTACAGGAGCATTACCTTGATATTTTGCTTAAAAAAAATATATGCTGTTTTTAACAGCACATCCAATGACGGATGGTTTTATATCTTTCTACAGCATGCTAGGTTGGTGTTCTGGAGCCAATGCACATTTAATAATGAATATTTTTTCTTTTCTTTCTTTCTTTTTTTTTTTTTTTTTTTTGAGACAAGGGTCTGACTCTTGCCCAGGCTGAAGTGCAGTGGCACCATCTCAGCTCACTGCAACCTCCGCCTGCTCAGCTCAAGTCATTTTCCCACCCCAGCCTCCACAGTAGCTGGAACTACAGGCATGCATCACCGTCTTAGGCTGATTTTTGTCTTTTTTGTAGAGATAGGGTTTCGCCATGTAGCCCAGGCTGGTCTTGAACTCGTGAGCTCAAGCGATTCACCTGCCTCAGCCTCCCAAAGTGCTGGGATTACAAGTGTGAGCCACCATTCCTGGCCTCTATATCTCTAAAGGTACTAGTTTTCCCTCAGTTGCAAAAAAATCATAAATTTAAAATCATGTTGGCTAGTTTCTCTAACTCTTCTATAAAATCAAGTACTAGGTATTATAGACTCTTTTCAGATAAGTCATTTCCAAATATCTCATCTTTTCCATTCTCCCTGCCATTGTTTTAGTTCAGAGCCTTATTATTTTGTATCTAGAATACCTTCATAGCATTTCCTACTACCATAGTCTTGCCTTCATATGTGTCCTCCAGAAGATTAATCTGGTGAGCCAAAATATTTGACCAGGCTCAAAATAATTAAATGCTCTCCTTTGTTTATAAGAATAAAGTCGGGGGGGTGGGGGGCGGAGCAAGATGGCCAAATAGGAACAGCTCCAGTCTCCAACTCCCAGCGCGAGCGACACAGAAGACCGGTGATTTCTGCATTTTCTTTTTTTTGCTTGCATTAGGAGTTAATTACCTGATGTAAATGACCAAGTTGAATGGGTGCAGACACCATAACATGGCACAAGTAATACACTATGTAACAAAACTGCACGTATGCACATGAATACCTACAACTTTAAAGTACAATAAAATAATAATAATAACTTCAAAAA